TATTAGCCAGAAAATCAGGATTTGATAGCAATGTTACCATAGTCAATGATTGTGGGTTTCCTGTCTAAAGTTAAGAAGGGAACTTTGCGCCACTGCTTACTGGCAGCTAGGGTGGCCATTTCTAGACATTTGAAATCCACTCAAACTCCAGGGCTATTGCAATGGGTTCAGATAAGGAATTATATTTACACTATGGAGACCTTGGTAGCGTTTGACCAAAATGGGTCTGACTAAAATAGAGCCCTGGAAACGCGGTCTTGTTGGATAGCTTTTAAGGAAATCCCGGAATTTAAATAAATGTTCTTATTCTGACTCCGATTGTTGTATTAGCGATTTATCCCTTGCTGAGACCTCTATGCCTGGCCTGTATAAGCAGATATAATCACTGCAGACAATCCTTATCATTTTCATCCATAGAATGCTTTATTCTATGCAGCAGACAACAAGATACAGCAGATGAATGAACAGACGATATTTAAGGTCAAGGATGATAATGTTTCCAAGCTAGCATATACACTATATTGCCAAAAGTATTGGGACACCCCTCCAAATAATTGGATTCAAGTTTTCTAATCACCTCTATGGCCGCAGGTGTATAAAATAAAGCACCTAGGCATGCAGACCGTCTCTACAAACATTTGTGAACGAATAGGTCGCTCTCAGGAGCTCAGTGAATTCAAGCGTGGTACTGTGATAGGTTGCTGCCTATCACCAAGTGCAATGCACCGCGTGGGATGCAGTGGTGTAAAGCACACCGCCACTGGACTCTAGAGAAGTGGAGACGTGTTCTCTGGAGTGACCAATCACCCTTCTCTGTCTGGCACTCCGATGGACGTGTCTGGATTTGGCGGTTGCCAGGAGAACGGTACTTGCCTGACTGCATTGTGCCAAGTGTACAGTTTGGTGGAGGGGAGATTATGGTGTGGGGGGTTGTTTTTCAGGGGTTGGGCTTGGTCCCTTAGTTCCAGTGAAGGGAACTCTTAAGGCATCAGCATACCAAGACATTTTGGACAATTTCATGCTCCCAACTTTATGGGAACAGTTTGGGGATGGCCCCTTCCTGTTCCAACATGACTGCGCACCAGTGCACAAAGCAAGGTCCATAAAGACATGGATGAGCGAGTTTGGGGTGGAGGAACTTGACTGGCCTGCACAGTTCTGACCTCAACCCAATAGAACACCTTTGGGATGAATTACAGTGGAGACTGCGAGCCCGGCCTTCTCCTCCAACATCAGTACCTGACCTCACAAATGGTGAAACATTCCCATAGACACACTCCTAAACCTTGTGGACGCCTTCCAAGAAGAGTTGAAGCTGTTATAGCGGCAAAGGGTGGGCCGACTCAATATTGAACCCTACGGACTAAGACTGGGATGCCATTAAAGTTCATGTGCGTGTAAAGACAGGCGTCCCAATACATTTGGCAATATAGTGTACCTGTGGTCCTGCTATAGGCAGCCATGACACTAAACGACTAGTTCTTGAAGTATGGGGAAATACATCATAAATGGCAGGGAACACAGAAAAACATGGTGCATTAACCAAAATGTCCACAAGATGGCAGTAATTAAACAGCTACTAATGCCAATGAACAAATGGCTTAAAGGAGAACTATGAGGTGAATGCTTTTCACTCACCTCATAATTCTAGCCGACCTGTGACAATGAGACTGTCACAGGTCGGCTCAGTAGATCGGGTAGTGAGCGAACATATACCGGCGTTCGCTCACTTCACAATCCTGTCACGGCTCTCTGCCGTGACAGGAGAGGGGCTGGATTCCCCCCTCCCCGCTCCGATCCTGCAGCGATGACTGGCGGAACGGACAGGGGAGGGGGCGGGTACAGCTGGCTCTGCCTCTAGATAGGCAGAGCCAGCTGTCACTCAAGCAACTGGGCGGATCCAGACATAATTGTCGGGATCCGCTAAAGCTGCGGCTTCTCAGTATACCGCGAGCTGTAGCTCGTGGCGGCGTCTCAGTATACCACGAGCTGTAGCTATACTGAGCTTAGGGTGACGGGAAGACGCTAGTTTGTGTCCTCCCGTTACCCTAAGGAGAACTATGGGGAAAAGACTTAACCCCATAGTTCTCCTTTAAGGAAAAAAACAACTATATAAATTCTCACTTCACATTAATATGAATATTAACTATGACTATGCATTGTGTCATATTTTTACAACAGCACAGTTCTGCTTATGACTCTCTATCTATAATATGATTGTGAAGTCACTGCTGGACACAGGTTGGTGAGCTGCTATGTAAGCATGTTTCTCAGAGCTGCTTATTCTGCAGGGGCGTCCCGAGGCCGGTCTAGACCGGGTGAAACCCCGCCGTGTTGTCATCGCGCGTAATATCACCTTGCGCATGCTGGCAGAGAGAGGAGGGGACGTTCACCTGGCAGAATGAGGTATGCCATCGGGCCCCCTCCACTCTCCTGACACTGTCGGGCTTTCGGTCCATGACCGTGTGCCCAACTTTTTAGAGGGGGTGACATCAAAATGACTGTCAGTCATTTTGGTGACACCCGGGTGCGGGACGCCCCCCCACGCACCCCCCTTGGGACGCCACTGTTATTCTACCATTGGTACAACCATCACAACCCTGTCCTTGTTTGTGCCCCCCTTCCCCTTTCCCCTACTCTACTTTGGTGTTCCCACCCCCCTTCACCTTAGCTTGTTTGGGAATTTTCATCTACTACTTCCTACCCCTGAGTTATCTGTAGTTAGCAGGTTTTCTAGATTGTGGGCATCTTTTCCTATCCTCTGAGGTATTGTGTTGCACTTTTGACAACCCACTGTTAATTTGGTGCCTTTCTAGTCTGTGCCTCTGACTTTTTGGTGTACTACACTTTGCCAATGCTATGGTTTGCATACCAAGAAATGTTTCATAATGTTCCCCTATATAATTATGCATTTAATAAAAGATTGACTGAAAATTATTTCTTCAAATATATTTAAAGTATGGCAGGGGCGGATCCAGAGTCTAGTCTCGGGAGGGGCACGGCCAACAAATAAGCCCCCCCCCCCATCTGGCTCTTCCACTGCTACTGTGCCACCCCTTTCCTCTCTCACCGCCTATGTGTCCACTGCCCCCCCATCTCTCCCCCTCTCCCCCCGTTGAACAACGCACTCCCCTGGCCTTTCCTTCTGGGATATTTCCGCCGCTGTCAGTCTTTGGTGGTCTGTACTCACAAATTAGGCAGCTGCAAAGCCCCTGCGTGGGCTGAAACGGCCGCCTAATTTGCCTGACTACAGTGCAGCCTCTGCTTTGGGTCCTCATAGTCGGTGCGGCCAGCCTGGCCCAGCAGAGCGGCGGAGGGTGGGAGCGATAATAATAAACGCAGAGTGTGGAGGTGAGTAATGTGATGCAGTGCAGAGGTCAGTAATGTGACACAGTGTGGAGGTCAGTAAGGTGACACAAGGCGCGGAGGTCAGTAAGGTGACGCAGTGCGGAGGTCAGTAATGTGACCCAGTGCAGAGGTCAGTAAGGTGACCCAGTGCAGAGATCAGTAATGTGACGCAGTGCAGAGGTCAGTAATGTGACCCAGTGCGGAGATCAGCGGTGTAAGAAAAAGGACATACAGTGGTGTTGTGCTGTCCTCATGCCCTCTTCTTCCTCTCCAGGTGGTGGTGGGGGAGCATCCATGTCTGCTCCATGTGAAGCCCCCAGCAGCCTTGTTGTGCCTCCTCTGCAGGTCCCTTCCCGCTCTGCTGCAACTAGCCAGGCAGCCAATGATGGTGCTGCACTCTCCCTCCCAGCCAATAGCAAGCAAAGGAGGGTTTTTAGCCCTGCATAGTACTTAAACTGTGACAGGTGTATGTCCCGGGCCGCTGTGCGGGGATGTACTGGTGTCACTACTACTGCGGTTGGGAGAGGCAGGGAGCGGCTCTCCAATCTCTATCTAATTGCCCCGTTGCCCCCACCCCCATGATCCGCCAATTATGTATGGGGAAATTAGAAAAATAACAAAATTATCTGCTACTGTTCATAGCACGAAATAACCTGTAACAACAAATAAAATACGAGTCACATAAAACAGCTGCAAGATGTAAGCTCAATAGTTCACTCAGAAAAGTTATTTGAACTTTTCGTTAAACTTTCACAAAGAGTGGCTCATGTATGGTCATCAAAACAAGGCGAGGAATACAAAAGCTTAAGTTTTAAACTGATGGCAAAACATTTTTTTCTAAGAAGTTTAAAGAAACATTTTAACTTTCAAACTCTAATTGGACTGGGAGTCCCAAATCCTTACGGCAAAGAGTGATCATTTCAGTCATTAAAATTATACAAAGAATCCTTTTGGGAATGAGTGATTCGTTATATATTGCTGGCAACCAATTTATGGTTAACTTTGGGTTGGCGAAAGTCAACAGATGAACCTGAAATCGTCAGTATGGTTCTGACTACAAATATTATTTATTTTGCAGAATATAATAGCTAAGAAGAGCTAAAAAGTTTTTTTCTTTTGCTTTATTATACTTTCATATGGTAGCAGAGTTTACTCCATAGGACTACTATAGAATAACTGACTTAAACAAATGTTTGTTACGTGACAGTAGAGTTGGTTATAGTATGCAAAACAAACAAACAGACAGCGCCTTGTCCTCATGTAATACAGTTTATTCATCAATAAACATACAAGCTGACATATAATACTACTCACATGGTAATCACTGAATGAATGGTACAAGGCAGACCCCACACAAAGCTGCCTTGCTGGTTATACATATGTAAAAAATTCTAATTTATAAATGTATGTATGCTTGAATTGTGCTGCAGACTACAAATTTACTTAATCATTTGAAACAAAATGTATGCTTAGAAAAAACAAATATAATATAAAATAATAAATTTCAAACTGATTATATTCTTAAATGTGTAGTTTTTTAAATTAATCCAATACAGTATGATATTATTATTTCACATATTATTTTCTTGTACTATTTAATTTGATAAAGTTTATCATTTGGAGTTGACCATAACGTTTCTCCACTATAAAAGATGTCCATGCATGTTGTGCTGGAGAATTCAAATCAAACCTTTCCAGGACACTTTATCCTTCTGGGACTCTCTAACATTTTGTACCTTCAGGTTGTGTTTTTCTTGCTGCTTCTGATGTTATACATGGTGACATTATCAGGAAATATTCTACTGGTTTGCATGGTGAGGTTTAATCCTCGCCTTCAGACCCCGATGTACTTTTTCCTGGCCAACCTTGCCATCATTGACATTTGCTTTTCCTCAACTGTGGTGCCCAAAATTTTGGTTAACACCATATCACCAGACAGAAGCATTTCCTTCTTGGGATGTGCAACCCAACTGTACTTCCATCTGGCCCTGGGTGGTACGGAATGTTTAATATTGGCGGCTATGGCTTTTGACAGGTACAATGCCATCTGTAAACCGTTACAATACAACATGATCATGAACCACAAACTGTGTCTTCGTCTGGCTGCTGTATCTTGGACTTTGAACTTTCTTTTAGCTGTAATTCTTACAATGGTCACTTTTGACTTGCCCTACTGTAAAGCCAACCAGATCAATCATTTTTTCTGCGAGATGCCCCCCATGCTTCATCTGTCCTGTGCCGATATTTGGTTCAGCGTGGTTGTAGAGTGCACTCTAGTTGTATTAGTTGTTGCAGGCTCTTTTCTACTCATACTTATATCTTATTTCTTCATCACCCTGACTATCTTAAATATAACTTCCACCAAACAACGGCAAAAAGCTTTCTCTACTTGCGCCTCTCACCTTGCTGTGGTCCTCCTGTTCTACGGAACGGCACTCTTCATGCACCTACGTCCTCCTTCTAGTTACTTCCCAGAGCAGGATAAGATTGTGTCTGTCTTCTATACAGTGGTGACACCAGTGATGAATCCCATCATCTACAGTATACGAAATAAGGAAATCAAAGCGGCCATTAGGAAGTCAATGGCTGTTAAAGATATCACTAATCTTTTTTTCCTTAGTACTAACAGGTAAACACCATGGGTTGATTTACTAAAGGCAAATAGGCTGTTTGCAGAGGAATTTTCCCTTAGCTTAGTGGATGTTGAGAAATTCACTTTGCATACAATCATTTGCAAGGAAACAGTATTTTTACTTTCATGGATGACGGATCATTCACTAAGCTATGGGAAAATTTCCTTTACAAAGTGAAAAGCCTGTTTGCCTTTAGTAAATCAAGCCTTATAACTCATTATAACAAAGGTATAAATGTGTTCTTACGCAGAAATATATTAGATAAATGAGCTCCTACACATTATAAATATCTTGATCCTTGTCTTGAGAAAGCAGGCCAAGCGTCACACTTGAACACTATGGAGTAACTTATATTGACTGTTGCCCAATTTCTTTTGCCCCCGTGTATATCCTGCTGGAAACATCTCTAACAGAGAACGTTTTTTTGACATTTGTGTCCTTACCCCTTGACTACTGGACCTTCAAATGCCATTTTAAAGAAATATATAGTAGATTTGTACTTTTTTGTTCTTTATCATTATTGTCAAGACTAAAAAATACTTCATTTTTTTTGTCAGGTATATATCATGTATTGGTATATTTTGTATTCTGCTTTTCAGCCAGCAGAGCACACTCAAGGCTCCTTTTCACATATTTCCAAGCTATCTCTGTGTGCTCTGTCAGAGCAGGGACTTACCCACACCCCGTTCCTTCCCCTGTACCTTTATTTTATTTAAAGTAAGAGTGCCTGGAAGGAGACAATTTTTCTACACACAAAAAACCTAGTGGGCTTTGAATCCCACAAAGATTCCAGGAAGACCATTCATAAGCCAGAACACTTCACTGCGCATCCAGTAGAGGTTGCCCCGTTCCAGTCAGGGACTCCAGAAGGCTATATCGAAAAACAAAAAACAACCAGGCACTTTCCTGCTGCAGGTAAAACCTTTTTATTCAATGAAAGAGTAAACAAAAATATGTAAAAGCATCAAAATAGACTGACAGTGCCACCTGCGGCCGGCAGCCACCTGCGGCCGGCAAATACCTTGTGCAATGTTAATTATTTCTACCTTGAAAATCCAATAAATATTTTGAAACGAAAATAGACTGACCTTGATTGAATAGCTGCTGTTGATGTAACAGATGGAGAGATCGAGGAGACTCTGTTCTCCTCACAGAGTCCCATTGCTAGCGCTTAGCGTGCTTACAGGGACACACCCCCTTCCTCACAGCTTAGCTGGTGATGGGGTAGCATGGAGCTGGCTTCCCGGCCAATCAGGAACCCGGGCGGCGTGTAATGACTTGTCTCCCGGCTTCCTGATTGTTTAGGAAGCTGGCCAATTAGGAAGCCAGGAGGCAAGTCATTACCCACCCCGCGGCTTCCTGATTGGCCAGAAATGACTCGATGACTGGCTTTCTGATTGGCCAGAAAGCCGGCTCCATGCTTCCTTGTCACCTGGTGATGAGGGAGCATGGAAATGGCTTCCTGGCTAATCGGGAAGCCAGACAGCGAGTCATTACACGCCGCCCGGCTTCCCTGATGGGACTTCCGGTATCGGCATTCGGTATCGGCGAGTACCAAAAAAAAATATATCGGTACTCATACTCGATACCGAAAAACTGGTCAAAAAAAATCCCTCACCTTAGTTGTCTTAGCTATGTTAAATACTGTGCATACTGTGCAACTGACAATAGGTTACTTTTACACTGCCTGTAATTCCTTCAATTTTGTAGGCAACAAATATTCATGTTTTGCGTCACAATAAGTACCAAATGATCAATTTTAGTGGATCTCTGAGTTTATGAATATGATATCCTTTTTAGCTTCTGTTGCAAACCACTTTTTCTGGAGGGATTTCTGGAAGACTGTCATGGCTAGCACTTCCAGCTTCAATAGTTTACTGGCCATTGCCCTGAAACAGGTATGGAGATCTGGAATTAAAATTTCACCTACCATTACACCTATCAATTTTTTAAATTCAAACCGTGGGCTGAAAGAAAAGAATTGACCCGATTTCTCCATCAACACAAACACCGTGTCGATGAAGAAATCCCGCAGTTTACATTATAATCTGACAGGTGCCACCGGCACTGATCGATCAAAAATGTTCCAACCGGCTCCTTCGATCAGCTGATCGAGGAATGCCGGCTGAAAGGGAGCCGACACACCCACACACTGCGAATTTGGCCCGTACATTCCAAACCGGACGAAATACGACCTGGCAACCCGCCAATGCTGCAGTGCCGTCCGTCCATTTTTTTACTACGGGCGGACGGCAAGAGGTTAAGGTTCTTTCCTGTACTGTGCCCTTGTGTAAAAAGCTAGTTTGGTGTGGAAGCTCAAGTGCTCACACAGAACCCTAATCTTAAATTTCCTGAACACCTTTAGGACGCATTGGAACACTGATTGTGTGCCAGGACTTTTTCTCCAACATCACTAACTGTCCTTACAACAGACACACTCTAGAATCTTGTGGAGAGGCTTCAGAGAAGAGTGGAGGCTATTACGGTCACAAAGGGGGACAACTCCATATTATTGACCATAGTTTTAGAATGGGATGTCCAACAAGCTCATGTTTGTGTGATGGTCAAGGGTCTAACTTTTGGCCATAAGTAGGGCATAAAATCATGACCGACTATGACAGTTGTTGCTCAAACGTAAACAAATTGATTAGAGGTGTCACGTATGCACACTACAGTGGTACCTCGGTTCACGAACTTAATTGGTTCCACGATTCTGGTCGCAAACCGAATTGGTTGTGAACCGAATCACATTTTCCCATAGGGTTCAATGTAAATCAGGTTAATCCGTTCTGAACCATATGAAGAAAAAAAACAAATTAACCACAGGTTTCTTTTTACCACCATTCTTGCTCCGCACATTCTTGTCACCTTCAATAACGCTCCGCACATTCTTGCCACCATTATTAATGTTCTGCACATTTTTGTCACCTTCATTAACGCTCTGGACATTCTTGTCACCTTCAGTAACGCTCCGCACATTCTTGTCACCTTCATTAATGCTCTGCACATTCTTGTCCCCTTCATTAACGCTCTGCACATACTTGTAAACTTCAATAACGCTCTGCACATTCTTGTCACCCTCAATAACGCTCCGCACATTCTTGTCCCCTTCATTAACGCTCTGCACATTCTTGTCACCTTCATTAACGCTCTGCACATTCTTGTCACCTTCATTAACGCTCTGCACATTCTTGTCACCTTCAATAACGCTCTGCACATTCTTGTCACATTCATAAATGCTCTGCGCTTTCTTTTTCCCACCATGCTTGCTCTGCACTTTCTTGGGAGCCATGCTGGATTGAATACAGTAATACTGTACAGTACTGTGCTACAAAGCACCAAAAAAGCTTCACTGTAAGTGTCCACAGCCCTGTCTGCGACCGCAATCCCGAGTTCAGAAAGCCATGACCATGTGTCAGAGCGGGGAATATGACCGCGGTCGTGTTCGTAACCCAAGGCAGAGTTCGTGAACGGAGGCAAAATTTTGACGAACTTCTTGGTCGCGAACCGAATTGTTCGTGAACAGAGGCGTTCGTGAACTGAGGTACCACTGTACTCCAAGCGGCCACGTCACTTATTTAGGTTGTAAGAGGGTTGAAAAATCACTATCTATCATTACTAGACTGGAAAATAATGATTAGGTCCAACTTACACACCACCCATTCTGTCTAGTCTACAGATTGCTGCCACCAAACCAAACCTGGTTAAACATTCAATTCCTAATTTAGTATATAATACCCAGAGTAACATTCAAAGACACCCAAAACTTAAATTTAGCCGAATGTGTATAAGGTATTATCAAAATAACCTCTTCAGGAACATACTGTACTGTATGTGGTTCTTATACCAGACAAAGGCAGGAACTGAGTAAATTAATGATTTATTATGAAGGAAAAGTATTCACAGTGCATATATTTACAATTAGATGTTACATAAGACAGTTACACAATACAAACAATCAAAAATAAAAAGAGAAAACTGATAGAAATCCTACACACAGAAGCACTCGTATCTATCCCAGGGGGCTTCCAGCAAGGAAAATGGCAATTTACTACAAAATTAGATTTTGGCCCTAAGTAAGCACACCCTAATTACCATTGCAACATATTTTACACCTATGGTCACAGCTCAGGTTGCAGTCCAGAGTCTGGAAAGAACGGGGTGGGGAAGCAGGAGTGGCTAAGAGATAAGGACCTGAAGCTCCCATCTATTTCACACCTGGCCAAGGAGTTTTCCAACTGACAGCACCCATATATATAACAAAAAGGTTAATGTTTCAAGATATGAGTCTGACACAGGTATGGTATTTCCAGATTCAGATGCAGCAGATGCCGTCTTTCCATGGACAACATCTTACATGCTTAGACTGCACCGACAGTAACCAACTTTCGTCTAGCTCTTAGACAATTAGAAATACCCCAGCCTTATCTGGTGTCATTCTATTGGGAATAATGAAGGTACTTCGAATATATATACTAGGTCCCCAGATTGCAATCCCCGGATCCATATTTCATCTTTTACACATGACCTTGAATACAAAGGGGCTGGGCTTCTACCTCTTTTGTTTGTTGTAGGGTCCTTTGAAGGCTCACTTCTTGGTGCCTCCCTGGCTAGGAGAGGTTTGAAATACACCACCTGAGAAGGGTCCAGGCAAAAGGAATCCAACCGAGATGCTAACTGTGTTATATAATCTCATTTACACTTCATGGCATTTGAATCATCTCTCACTGAAGCCTGGCTAACCCCTGCAACTCCATCATCTTGTTACCTCTGCTGGAAGGTTAAGTCACATGCCTACTACCCCCAGTCACACTGATTAACAACATATTTACAATAAATCATAGCATCATGTCTACCGGACCTGACAAGAGGCATCCATCAAATATATACATATCCATTAAAATATGATGTCATCAGTCTGCTGCAGGCGGGAGGGAGCATTTCTTCAGTCCCACCTCCTGCATCACCCAGACTGTACATTTGTAGCAAGTCACAAGGTG